ATTTCAATGTATCCAGGGATATATGAGGATCGACTAAAAAATGCATTCTGTAAAATTCTGCTGTAGAAATTGCCGAGTGTTTTTCCAGATAGACTGAACTTGCGTGTAGCAAATGTTCGTGGAAGAGTAGGAGTTCTCAAGAAATTTTCAACGTCAAATTTTTAGGTAAAGGAAAAAGCTGAATCGCGAAATATATCTGTAAAAGCGTTCCAGCTCCTTTGTTATAAAGGAACTTGTACACCGCTTTTCTATAACGTTGAATTTCTGTTCAAAGAAATTCTCTTGAATGGGCGTTTCTCATTAAGTCTCGATTGTTGAGGGAAAATATCCTTTGAAATATCCCTCCATAGAACTCGTTCAACCGTATTTTCAATGAGACCAGTGCTTGTTCGCCGTATTTGTCTGTAGAACAAAACTCAAATTCTTCCATAAATGCACCCAAGCATCGAATTTTTCAATGAAGTCAATGAAAACAAATGGAGGTATTCTCTGTTTTGAATGTGTCCTGAAAATTTTTTTAGCTTGTTAGTTTGACCAAAACTTGTTCTATTATAAATGCTTTCAATCTTGAATGCGGCTTGCGATTAGCAACTGCTTTGATATTTTGGTCAGAATAGAAAAAGATAAAGTGAGAATTGTCGTATCTCTCATTTTGACAGATTCTTTTCAGAATGTGAAGGTTCACTTGTATAAATTGCAATTCTGGCATGATCTGAGCAATGTATCAATCCCAGCAAATTCGGCAGCTGTCCTGACCCCTAATGTAGAATGTTTAAAGCATGCATGGCTGGCTCGGTTTGCAAAGATCAACTATGATGAGTCAGCTCCTGGCGTGATCAACGGTCTAGACATGTAAATTGGCTGACCCGTCCTAGCTTACTACGAACAGCAAGCGCGATGAGTCTGCATCCATTGTGGTCGACGGTCGAGTATTGGTGCTATTCCAAGGATCAGTTCACAGCAGTCATCGCCAAATTCTCACAATTTAATATCTAGGAGCCTATTATATACCACGCAAAGTGCAATCAACTCTAATAAAATCAAACATGTATATAGTCTAACAAAGATTTCTTGACAAAAAAAGTTGTGATGCGATCTAATGGCAGTGTGCCTGGTGGAAAAATGCTCAAGAACTGCATAGCTCAGTGAAAGTTACAAAATTTTGATTGCAAAATATTTGTGTGGCAGAATTGTCAAAGCTGGGTTGGTTTATGCGTACTATATTATATCAAAACACTTCTATTAAACAAATTAGAGTTCCTAGCGAATTCGGCAGCTGTCCTGACCCCTATATGATCATCCTATTGTGTTAATGTTCAGAGCATGCATGGCTGGCTCGGTTTACAAAGATCAACTATGATGAGTCAGTTCCTGGCGTGATCAACGGTCTAGACATGTAAATTGGCTGACCCGTCCTAGCCTACTACGAAGAGCAAGCGCGATGAGTCAGCTCCATTGTGATCGAGGTCGCTTTTGGTGCTATTTCAAGGATCAGTTAACAGCAGTCATCGCCAAATTCTCAAAATTTTCGTTAATATCTGGTAGAATATTATACATTACCAAGCGAAGTGTGTTCAACTCTACTAAAATCAAACATGTATTAGGTTGTCCCAAAAGTTCTTGCGCCGGATTTTCAAAAAACCATAGCTTCCTTTCAAACCGGCGAATTTTCTTGGACTTACTTTTATTTGAAAGAGGGAACCTTTCTCTTTACAACAGTGCCTTTGCTGTGAAGCGGCGTTAGAAAGTCCCAAAGCTAGAGGCAATTGAATGAAATCAGTCAAGATCGGCATTTTTCAAGCTGGGTCACGAAAAATTCTAGAAGTATTTTTATTTGATAGAGAAAATTTTGCACATCACAGTTGTACCTTTTCCATGAATTAAAACTGAAAAGATCTTGAGTTAGGAGCAAATAAAGAGAATTCCTTCAGTTTTGCAATTTTTGGGCATGCTCAAAAAAGCCTGGAAATGTCACAGAAAATACGGGAATGTTATGGGCATGGGTTTTATGGCCTTCTCTTTTTAGCTGAGCAAGTTTCGAGCTAATCGAGAGCATTTTTGATTTTCGTGAAAAACGCACTCCTGAAAATCCGAAAAAATCACGAAAAACAAAATTGCTCTCGTTTGACACACTTTTCGCTCAGTTAGAAAGGGAAGATCACAAAACCCATAATCGTGGCTTTCCCGTCTTTTCGGTGACATTTCCAGGCTTTTTTGAGCATGCTCAAAAATTGCAAAACTAAAGAAATTCTCTTTATTTGCTCCTAACTCTCGATCTTTTTAGTTTTAGTTGATGGGAATGGTGCCATTGTAGTGTGCAAAATTTCCTCTATCAAATAAAAATAGTCCCAAAATTTTTCGTGATCTAGCTTGAAAAATGCCGATCTTAATTGATTTCATTCAATTGCCTCTAGCTTTAGAAGGAAAGGTTTCCTCTTTCAAATGAAACTAAAATCAATAAAATCTATCAAGTGGCAAGGAAGTTATGATTTTTTGAAATTCCGGCGCAAAAACTTTTGGGACAACCTAATATATACACTAACAAGGATTCTTCGATAAAAAAAGTTGTAATGCGATCTAGTATTATATATCAAAAAACTTCATCTTCCATTAAACTGACATGGGGAGCAGGATCAATTCGCTTATGAAGTGATTCGTGAGGCCGATAAACAGAAGCTCATGTATTTTTGCTAATAAGATAAGTTTTGAAGCTGAGCACCGTGAATCTAGTTGTGATTATTTGCGTGAAGTTTTATCAAAAAGCTCTAACTCAATTTTGAATTAGAAACTTGTTCCTAAGAACGTCTTGAAACTTAATTCAAAAATAGGTGTTCCTTTGTCGCTGTCATGAAAAAACAATCAACGGCACAGCTCGGCAAAAATCTGGCCAAATTTTGTAAACGAAATGATCCTGTAAGCAGGGGTGTGGAACTAAGAGGCTGCTGATTGTCTGTATGCCAGATCAAAAAGCTTCAGCTCCAGTCAAAGTGGTAAAAATAGGGAACGTTGACATGAATGACGGTTTTTGTAACGATTCAAGAAGGCAACGAACAGAAGTATGCGGAGCAAGAAAAGCGCAAGCAGTGGTTAGGCTGAAGTACTAGCACCATTGCACAATTTGCTACATACATCGGAAAAGTGCTTGATTCCCCCTTCTTCTTGAGTTGCTGAGCTTTAGAAAGAACGCCAGCACTTGTGTGGCTGTACAGCTGCGAATGCCACCCCGCGAGACTACGCCCCCAAAAATCTCTGCGGTCGGGCTCGCTCCTCACTTCGTGCGTATCTACTTCTGGCGAAACGCCTACAAACCGCTTTCGATGTTATATTATAGGAGGATCTGTGTTGGCTATGATTATGCAGGATGCTCCACTCAACATTCAGTGGATGACAACTGCGGCTGAATCATTATGCCAGCTTCTTCAAAGTACTTTCCTAACTATGCACGTATGTTTACTGTCGTACAGCCGACGTAATGGCTACATCAAAATACTTTCTGTTGCTTGAAAATTGAGTTTTTTGGTTTGAAAGCGTGACAAGCCTATGTAGGTTGGAATCTGTCCGTCAATATCAGCGATCATGCAGAGTTTACGAAAGCGCTCTTCAATTCTTTTATCGAAAAGGCTCAGTGGATTCCATAACTATCATCTGAGATGAACGAGAGCTTGAAAACTCTTCAAACCAGCTGTTTGTTGAAGTAGATTGACTTCTGGTGCTTTTGAAAGCAAAAAATGCAGTGAACATTTCTCTTTGAGAAGGATGACAGGTCGCACATGTTGCAAATGTTTGATAATTTAGTACGTAACTGAACAAAAAAATTTTAAAGTCGGGGGATGCGATAGTGTTCAAAAAAAAGCCCAGGGTTATAATTTTGTCCAGTTTCGGTAGGGGTTTTTCAAATTTTTCTAAGTTTCTCCATTCAACTGAACAAAACTTGAAACCGTTTTGAGGGATCATGGTAGGCTAACATGCACACCAAACAGCAAAGTCTCAGACAGATTCGTCAACAAGAACGCAAATTACGACATTTTTATATTGTCTTTATGAAAATGGCCAGCACTGTAGAAAACAATGTTGCAGTGTCTGTGTATGTCTGGAGTAAGTCATTAAATTGCATAACAGAAATACACTAATACGCTAATACACGTTAGATATATACGTAGTTAACCGTGTTTGAAAATGACCCCTTTCGCTAAAACCTGGCCTAGAGAGTTTAATTGATATGTTGTCACGAATATGTTACTAATTATGCTTAAGAGTGCCTTAATGTCATGTCTGCAAAAGGCGAACGATAGTGTGGGGGGGGGGTGGGGCATTGAGACTGAACTTAAGGGAGGGTGTGCCGCTCCTCTTGCTCGACCCTGTACTCTCTAAGAATACGAAAGTGCACAGCAAAGAAACACCGATACCGGCGCACGCCGCAGGCTGCGGTAGGCTGGGACAGGCTGCCGCGTTTTGCGGCTCGATATGAAGGAACCCTGTCGGTCTGTGCCCCTGCACACCACGAGTACCGAGACCCACCATCCCTAGTAGTGATGGCGGTTTTACGATGATTATGACGAAGACGGTTCAAGCAAAATCGCCGAGATTACATCTGCACTTGCATTCGTTTGAAGATAGTCACTTTTCCAATTAATATCAAAATTTATCTGAGGGATCTAGTAAGCATATGTCTTCCCCAGGTTCTTGCAGGTGGCGTGATTTCTCACTAAACACCTACATACGCTTTGACTTCATCTTGCATGTCCAACCATTGAAGGTCTTGCTAATAAAGTTGCAGAGATCGCGTTATCGTTAATGAGACAATTAAAATTGAGCAGACGATTGACACTGTGGGTCCAGCAGTGTGTGATCATATGTAATTCATGCGTTTTTGCAAAATATGCGCTGTTAATGCGGACATACATTTTACTATATTACTGCTCGCTGTCATAACATCTCTTAGAACTATTTATTCTAGGATGTGCATGAAGTCAGTGTGATAATTCTAGGCCGCGCTACCTTTATCCTTGCGACTGCGAAGTCTCTAGCTCTTGTTTATTCAGTTTTTCGTTTTCCAATTCAGCTTGACTTGCCGGCTCGCCAGACATCGTCAGGTTTGGTCCTTGCTGAGTACCCAGGTGAGTTTGGCTCTGCTTGTCAAACGTCGTCTCTTCCTCTTCTTCCTGCCTGGTATGCTGGTCAGGTAGGCTTTCCTGCACGGTCGACCCAGGTTGGCCCTGCCTGCCAGAATGCCTCTGTCCTCTTTTCTCCTGCGGGCCAGATCGGCTTGAGTGTCTGCCGGTTCCTCCTCTTCCTCTCTTCGGGGGCGTACGTGGTTCCTCGTCCTTGGGTTCCCATAAAGCGGCACATACAAGACCTTCCTTACTCTCTCCGCAGTTGAATTCAACTTCAACATTATTTTCTTTTTTCTGAAACAAGATTATGGGGCTACAAGGTGGCTATAGAATTTGTTTCAATGGTGAAGCATAAGCTTTACGCAAGATATATTGCATGCCCCACTTATCCTCCAAAATTTTAAAACGAAACGCGGCATAACTGAACGGTACGTTTCAGTTATATTATAGACCAGGTTGACGCAATATTTCCAACGCACATTCTTGAGAAATCATAATTTCTTGCTCTATAGACAGATCCGCACACTCAAACTTGCTAGCTTCTCACAAATAAAAGAAACGCTTCTGTTTGTGAGAATACCTTTGCTGCTTTCTAACAAGGAATAGCTTTTGAGACGGAGAATAAAATCACCTGAGCTTTGATCATGCTAAGTTAGGTTGCTGAAAATCCGAAAAATCCGGAGCGAGCAGAGTAAACCTTCTTATCACTCTATTCAACTGTGCAAAGATTGTGTTAAATGTGAATCTCTGTGAGAGATAATGAAACAGTGCATTTCTTTTGTTTTGGCGAAAATCTTAAACTCTTCACAGAGATGCTCTTGCATACTCTCCATTATTGGAAAGGGTGGAGCGAAAGTTACATAGTAGCTTCCTTTGGTTTAATCGCAAGTTTCAATTTTTACCTCTCTGACTTGAAATGACCAGAGTTGAAGTGATATTGTCCTGCTTTTCTCACGAGCTCACATTTGTCAGAGGGAAGCAAACGCATTGTACAAACAAAATAATTCCCTTTATCTGTCAAAATCCAGTGTGTGCAGTTGAGAGAGCAAAAAGTTATAGTCGATTCGCTGACCGCACGGACTGTGCAGAGCACCGAGGTAAAACACTTGCCCCAGTACAAACTCGCCATTGTACAAAACGCGCTCTCGCAACACAGCCGCGCCGCGCTTGTTCCGCAGCGTTTGAGCAGTCCGTGCGGTCAACGAATCAACGATAGTTTTATTGAGAAATGGCGCGAAAAACTTTTGCACCAACCTGATATACAGAATGTCCAAAAATGTGCCTACTGTTTGAGTGTCAATAATTTCCGTTTCTTAGGGTCTTTCAAGAATCTCTAAGTATCATTTTGTAGAGCTAGCTTTAACTTAGATAAACGGTATGGTGCAAATCATCCATCGCTGTTCATTACTATTCATTTAGGAGCTTACAGCATATGCTTTTTTGTAGTAGCTTACAACTACTACAAAAAAGCTGCCACTTGAATGGTTCTAAAAATATTCAAAAAACGTTGAAAGAACTTGAAACGCTGAGAATCCTCGACTTTGTACGAGATTGGGAAGCTTTTTAAACGCTGTAATCATATATTTCGGGAACATCGGATAACGGCTGCCGCCATACCTTCGATAGTCTAGAGACAGGGCGTCAAAAGTGAAGGTTGTTTGAACATCTGACGTCATAAATGGTGAAGGTTGTTTAAAGATGATCAGAGAAGAGAAAATGACATAAAACGGATACAAAAAGCAAAAGAAACTGCTGAAAATAGGATAAAAACGCTGCAGTGAGGCTTGAAATCTTTCATTTGGCGGCTTTCTAAAGTGCAAGTTTTCGCTTCAGGACCAGCAATTCGCAACACGGGGTTTTGATTTTTGATGCGTCCTTTGAATTTTTACCCCCGCATTGACATTCCTGTTTCCTGGGACGTTGTCTGGATTGTTGCGCTTATTGTTCTGAGCAACAATCGCCCAAGCTGGAAAAAAAATCGATGCGAAGGCATTGAAACAGAACAAGGTAAAGAAAAACGCACTTTTTACGATTTTTCGCAAAAAAATCCACAATAATCGAAGAGATAAAGGCTGGGTGGTTGTCTGCATCATGAACAGAAGCAAGATCTATAGAATGCACGAAAAAACCGGGTAAAAAGAGGTAAACTAGAAGAAAAACAAGAGATTTTCGAAAACAAGGTTTTTGCCGGATTTCTCGTCCAAATCAAGAAATGCGATTTTGGGACGTTGTCAGTGTGAAAATATAGATCAAGAGCTTCAAAATGATACATAGCTTGCTAAAATTGGGTGCGAAACAGCGAAGAAAAGGGTACCAGAGCCAAATGCCCCGCGCCCCGCGTTTGGGGTAGCGAGGTAGCGCGCAGCGCGCGGAGACGCAGACGAGCAGCGGAGACAGACCAGAGCCGACGGGGCATTTGGCTCTGGTCGTAGATCTCGTCGGGGTCTCAACGAAGCCCTGTAACATTATATATCATTCTGACCGTCATGACACGACGAGGAGAGATGACAACGTCCCAAGCTTTAAAAGTCACTTACTAACGAGATAGACCAGCAATTTCGTGCGCGACTCTCTGCGCACAATTAAGCGCAGTTTCTCATTTTAATTCAACTCCAACAGCTTTCCAAACTTTTGAAACTAATTTTTGTCAAGTAGGAGGCTAACTGAGGAACGTTGTCCTAAATTCTGAGGAAAGCGTAAAAAAGGCTTTAGAAAAGCAATTTCTCGGTTTCGCTGAGACATTTTTCAGATATTCTTTCCTATATTTGGTTCATTCACATTCTTCCGATATAGTCAGGATTATAACATCGGGGGCTTCGCCCCGGATAACTTCTGTTTTTTCCCAGGTGAAGGTTGTGTCCCCTCATAGCCCTCAAAGTGAAGGTTACCAGAGTATGTGGCTCTATGTATCGAGGGTATGGCTGCCGCTGCTTACCTGGCACACTTTTGAGGAAGCATTTTGATGAGATGCAAGATTCATGATTTGAAATCATCAACTCTAATTAGAACACTCTGAGAGATTACAAATCAGTTCCCTTTTCCGCAAATACTGCTCTCTGTGGCTCAAAATCTTCTTCAAAGTTCGACCGTGATTATGCAGTAACAGAGAACCTAAAGCTGTTGTTCCAGGGTATTCATCGCGCTGATTTCACTATTCAACTTTTTACAATTGTTTAAAGTTTCTGAAATGGTGTAATCACAACTTTAACGATCATTGTTAGGACAGCTACTGCAATTTAGTTAGCATCATTTGCGAAAAAGGCATTATGAGAAAGCAAAGTTTTGCAATTTCATATTCGGTGTCAGCGGATCTGATTAGCCTAATGTAAGAGTTTTTAGGTTGCTTGATATGCTTTCTGAATGCCCTCAAGGATCAAAAACCCTCTTTCGAATTATTGCCGTGATTCTACAGTAATGAAGAGGGATGAGAGATGCCCCATATCGTGAATTTAAATTGAAGCCAGCTCTACATAATATTACGTGAAGCATCTTCAAAGACTTCATGACGGGAGTATTGACAGTTAGTAGGCACATTTTTCTGAGTGAGTTAGGTTGGCTAAATTTCCAAATGTTCACTTCTTAAACTTTGTAAGCTTCCTTTTCATGCAATAATGAATGTGGAGATTAATAATTTGGTATTAAGATATATTTAGATTCATACAGATAGTTTTCTATATCTAGCGATAACAGTAGATGTGATGTGCCGATTCGAAATTTTTTGATCAAGTAAATGAAATTTTCTCATATCTGTGTGCAGTAAAGAAATCAAAGTATCTTTCTTCTTGCGCCTTTTCTTCACAGGAAAATGAGCTCTACTCGACAAACTCTACATTCTAAGTTTCACTAGAGTGCTCTTTCCAAGCCAAGCAATAGACAAAAATTTGTCTTCAGCATTTGTACGAACCGCAAAAGCGAGCGAAATTGTGAGCCAACCTAACGGATTAAAAAGTTCTTGCGTAATCTGAACAAATTTCTGTAACCTTTCAAGTACAAAGCCTAAAGATGTTATTATAATTTCCAAAAATAGTAGAGGGTTTGTGCTCTACGACAGATATCGCAGGGTGACTTTTATTGAGCCAGCCGGCAAGCACGAAGCTTTCAAAAATGGCGTTTCCAAGTTTGCGATTTTGAGTTTGATGGGTAGACTGAAGCTTGTAGCTAGCCCCAAAGAATCTGCAAAAATACATAGCAGTAGTCCATACCTTACTGTGACAAGCTTCAATCTCGCAAAAACGCAAAACAAAAAAAAATTCACTAAATGTCACTTCACAAGAAGAATCTCCTGCTGTAGTTTTTCAGCAAAAAACGGCGGCGCCCAAATAAAACGTTACAGTAGCCTAAAAGCACTGGGTCAATTTGGTCTAGTTGAAGGTTTGCGATCTTCGACAGATATTGAAGCATAACTTTCTATGCGCTAGCCGCCGAGAACGGAGTTTTCAAAAGAGCGCTCAAAATATTGCGAATTTGTTGATGCCAAAAGCTTGCGGAGGGTCTTTAACTACCCTTGAAGAATCTATGAAAAAATTCTTGCATAGCAGTAGCCAATCCTTGCTGTGGCAGGCTTCATTTCCGTAAGAAAATTTTTCCTTTGGAACGACATAATTCAAGAATTTTTTCTTTTTGCGTTTTCATGCGAGATTGGAGCCTGCTAAGGTAAGGCATGGACAATTACTAAAAAATTTCAGATTTTTCAGGACTAGATAATAGGTTTCTGCAGTTTCTTGGCATCAAACAAAATCGCACGACTTACAGCGGTTTTTGGCGCCAAGACCACATGAGAGGAAGGACACCGAAACGTCAGCCATCAACAGAAAAATCATACCATCTTGGCTTAGCTACAGCAAAAATCACTATCGTCTTATGCTATTTTTGGAAAGCATGATAAACCTAGGCTCAATACTTCAAAAGTTTTTGGATTTAGTTCGAATTACGCGAAACTTTTGCAACAATTAAATATATTAGTTTCGAAAGTTGTGCCCTTTTTCAGACTTACTCTCAAATCAATCAGAAAATTAGTGGACAAAGGCCTCTAGCAGCGTTCAATGCAGAATTCTTTCTTCTTTTTAGCAGTGAGCTTTTGTTCCGAGTTCTTTGAGGATTTCGAATAATTGTCGAAATGCAACCCATGGTTTTCACTTTCCCTAATTTTGACTAACTTTCAAAATTTTTAGTTCGTACTTTTGGATCTACTTTGATAGTCATTGGATAGAGTGAACAAATTGCAATACAATAGATTTTCTCCCCAAACTGGCCTTCCAACTTCTTTCAGGGTTATTTTGCAAAAGACAAACCAGAAAAATGATTTGAACGCCACCGAGTCTTTGGAATCTGAAACTTCCAAAAAATTTTGTGATCCGCTCATTGTACAAGGCAACTGTGTGTTTACGCTTCGGAATATTGGATTTCGAATCCTCCGGGTATGGCCTGGGAGGCGCTCAAAAACATGGGTTATAATGATTTCCTTTTCGCAGTCTTCACAAATAGGGAAGAAGAAACGCCTGTCAAAAAAGAGAAGAAAGCTACATTAGTGACACTTTAGATGCCTGTTTGTTGTTTAAAGGCCTGGGATGCCCTAATATCAAATTTGGGACATCGAAAAAATACTATAGTTTTGAGAAGCCAGCAGTAGATGAAGAAATGCTTTTTGTTGTACTTTTTTATTATCTTACCGTTTTTAAGCTTTTATGAAAGTCCGAAAGGAAACTATAAAAAACAGCTGAAATCAGGGTAGGTAAAAATTATGGCTTGAAGATACTATGACTATTCCGGCAGTCATCATAGCTCTCAAAACATAAGCACTACCTATAAAGAGGAATTCGACGCCGTTCTTGCTCTTTCAAGCAATCATGTGCCTGTGCTGGTCGGTCTTTGTGATAATAGGAAATTTCGAAGCAATGAAGCTTATTATGTCCAAATTCGGTCATTTTTCAAGTCTACGTCTTGAACTTTTGAAAAGCTTCGACAGCAGTTAGATAGCGAACAAGTGCAATGCTGCAATTTGTTAGCACCTCAACTGCATCTTCTCACAAGGGAATGGTCAGAAATCGAAGTGGCCATTCCAGACAAGCTGCGTAGCGTTAAATGCAGCATGAAGCGCTGACTTTAAATCTGTCTTCTTTATCTGCTTATCGCTTTTCTAATCGAAGTTATAAGCCATTAAAGACCATTATTTTGCTTAGAAATTATGCGTGAAATTGAAAATTCAGCCGTACAGAGCGTCGTTCGCCTCAATGCTGGGCCAGAACATGCAGCTAGCTTACTTAAAATTTTTGAAGCCAGAAGCCGAGCTAAAAGTGCAACAATGTGCTCAATTTCGCTGTTTTTATTTATGATTTTTTCACAACAAAACCGCTTGTAGCTTTGTTCACAGAAGCGGGAAGCAGATAAGAAAGGCAGATTCGAAGTCAGCGTTTTATACTGCATCGAATGATATACAGCTTGTTTGGTTTGGCCACTTCGACTTTTGACCATTCCCTTGTCAGTACCTTTTGAAATGACATGTCTAGGTCTTTTTGTGAAGTTGCAAATTAGTTAAAGGCACCGTCCACCCTAAGTTGAGGGTGTTGTGCTTTTGCCAACATATAATAATAGGGCCTCCTATCAAGCCAATGCCCAAGTCGCGGCGCAAAATGCCGCTTCGGAAGCGAGAAAATGCTTCGGATTGATAGCGAAGATGCACGAGGACCCCCATCCATGCCCGCGCATCTGTGCGCGCCTATCCAATCACCGTTCCGGAGAGCCGGCCAATGGGTTCTCCGGAACTGGGATTATCGCGGTTTTCGCGCATTTTCAACTTTATATTCGGAATCAGGGACATGAGAAGGCCCTGAAACGACAAAAATGTGGAAGTCGAAAATCTGGGTGGACGGTGCCTTTATCTGCTTTAAACACTGGCATCTTCAGAATTTGAAATCTTCAAACAACGATTATGATTATACACTAATTTTACAAAGCGATGAAGCACTTACCACTTCGAAATATCAAATTTCGCATTTTACAGGTACAGCGGAGCGTGTTCAAAATCAAGAATTATGATAATTTCATCCCCAAAGACAAAAATTGAGGAAAAAGAACGCCTTTCAAAAAGAGGAGAAAAAGCTACATTGTATGACATCTTAGTCCGTTTATTGTTCCATGAGTTTTAGTAATAAGCGAAAGTGGAATTTGATAGCATCAGAAATACAATTCAGAATTTTAAAAAGCCAGCTATAAAAATTTGCATTGCATTGCGATTGTTCATGCCATTGACTGCTATCAAAGCTTTTTCAAAATTTCAGAAGGAAGATTTTGAAATTTGACCAAAGCTGGACATCCTAAAAACCATGAGTTTGAAATTTCGTAGATTATCTTAGGGACCAGGAGAGTAACTAGCGCAGTAAGACGAACGCTTGAAAGGAAGAAAAGCTGCGTTGCATTGCTTGAAACGTTTGCCGGCCTCTGTTCTGGCGTTCTCATGATAAGATGAAAACGCAAGAACTTTCGGAACTACTCAACTTACAGAGGTGTCCCAAAAATTGAGCGCACTATCATTACTGACTCGCTTGCTTGGATGTTTTTCGTCAACCTTTAGGTACCATTCTAAAGAAGCATGCTTCAACTTAGACTTCCAGTATGGAGCAAAAGTGCAATCTCTTTTCGCTATCGTAGGATTAGGTATGAACCAACGGCATTGTGAATTGGGGCGACTCTTGATGGCTTGGCTTTTTTGTTAGAACTTTCTCTAAAGTTCTTACCGTAATCCTACTGCAACAAAGAAAGTTCAGAGAGTCGTTTTATATCCCCTACTGTAAACCTAAGTTAAAGCCAGCTCTACAGAACGTATTTAAAGATTGGCAAAAGACATCGAAGCAAGCGTTAAAAAAAAAGAAAACAGTGCAACCAGCGTGCATACTATTGGGACACCCTGTATATATTAAGTCAAACCTAAAGTTCTACATCAAGATGTGTTGCGGGCTGCAAGGTAAGTGCCGAAAAAATAGGGTACCTTTCGATAGATCAAAGCAAGCTTTGCAAGCCAGCATCGAAATGTACGCAAGAAGCTTGACTCGTGACGTAAGCCATACTTGAAAAGCTAACGCCAAAATTGTTAAAAATCGCACGACCGTCAAAAGGTCTCCAACTTGCTCAAGCAAATACTTTACACATAGGATAATGATGAAACTGTGCGGTTTTTTTTCCTACAACTGTATCTATCACTAGTCCAAAATTATAGCAAAAGTTCTGGTACTCACCGGGTTTATTTCAGCCGCGAATGTTTCAGCTACCTTTATGTCGGGGGTCCTAGAAAGAATTCCGTATAGTTGCGCAAAGCAGGAAAGTCAATTGCAAAAAGCCTCACCTTGGAGCGAATTCAGCATACATGAAACCTTTACAATTGTCAATTTTTGCACCACTTTGGATTGCGCAGCTGACAGTCCCCAACTTTGGCTGGTGTTTCTGGAAAAAATCGTGATATTTTTTAGATGACCTAGAATTAGAGACTGATAAGTAACGATTGCTTTCCTTCGTAGGAAGTGGAGATTGCTTGAAGAAAAATAGAGAGAAAAAATGTCATTTGATTCAAAATTTTGGTACGCAGTTCAATGCAATGCTTATCTCTACTCATGCTTGCTATTCCGAGCAAGTCGAAACACTGAAAACACTGGTTGTTCAATAGTTAAACCGCTTCTTGCATATGCTTGGCTAAAAAGTGTTACTTTCACTTATGCATTTCTACCTCTACAATCTACGTTGACAGTGAATGTGATTGATACTACAGGATATGAGAAACAAGATTTTCCATTGTTTGGATGTAACCGTAATTATAGCATAAATATTGAACTGTTAACGTAATATATCGAACCAACCACAGTGATCTGCAGTACTCGGAAAAAGCCCTTCATTCTCCCCGCGAATGTTTGGTGCGCGGTTTCGAGTGGACAGTTTTTCAGTTCTAACTTGAGAAAATTGTCGTATAATGTTTTCTGGCAAGGGCTGCATTCGCGTAGTTTTTTTTTCGGCCCCGCCTCTATCTCGAGAACCTGGAGAACGTGCGTAATCTTAGGTGAAATACTCCAAAATTATCGACTTACAAGGAGCAAAAAGATGTAGAAGCGCATCGTCACGTTTGATGCTGAGGTGTTGATCTTCAGTTATTTATACCATTTGGAGAACTGCTCAAATCTATGAACTTTTGATTACATCGTACTAAATCAATCCATTGCTTACAATATTTTGACTTTTGCACCGAGGGCACTTTGACTAATACCATACTTCCTCATTGTCTCATTTGTACTTTGTGTACTCCAACATCTTCGCACGCAGACAAAATTCGCAGTTGCATACGCTGTCAGTGTCCACTAGATCACGCGTACTTCCATCCCACTTACTAGTCTTTTGTCTCTTCCGATGCGAACTCATGAATGGATCCTGTTGTTTAGCAGCACCGCTTTTGTTTACAGGACTTGGATCAGAATGACCAAATGAAGATGTGTGTACCCTGTTACAAATTTGCAGTTTTTCAGCTACCTAGGCTTTCCGTAACTTCCATATATGCGCCTGGGACGCTTCTAGCGAGAGCAATCAACAGTCGCTCGTAGCAGTCAGAACATAGTTATAGCCACATGATTTTTGACGAAAGTGAGCTGTAAAAGATTTTTTGACGAAAGAAATGAGCTGTAAAACAAGAGCAAGAACAAGCCATGAAAAAAATGTTTTGATTTCTCAGTTAACATCTTGTCTTCTTTTGAATTCTACTTCAGAATTTTCAATTCTTGTTCAGTAGAAGAATTCGCTATTGAGTTGCTAACTCAGTCTGAAATGTTTCAAGATTGTTCCTTGGTAATTCGAGGTGTCTTGATTCAATTGTGCTTGCTTTGAATTTTCCACTGCTGTATGCAGCCTTGCAACTGAGCGGGTACTTTCGAAAGTTTGGAGAATACGCTGAATTTGCCACATTAACCTACTTTGCAGCTTTTTGCCTTAACTTTTTGAAGAGTAAAGAAATTCAAACATAAAGGGAGACTAATGTATGGCTCATAGACTCTTTTGGCCACCAAACTACCGTATTTGTTTATTGAGGTAAGTCAACCAAAGTTTTAAGTAAATCTGAGATCTTCAACTTTTTTCAGTAGAATTAATGCAGAAAATGGGTTACCGAGCCAATTTTTCATATGATCGATACACATTTATACCTCTTAATGCAGCATTTCTGGGCATGCTTCAAATCCCATATCCCTCATTCGATGTCGTATTAATCTGTTTCATCTGCTGCCTACAAATTGAATGATTTTAACCAATGCAAAGTGAGCAGATTTTGGTAACAGCGATCTCTAGGTTCAGTAGGCAAAACTTCGATCGAATACAGATCGTTAGTCTCAAAAACTGCGGTCAACAACTACGCAAAGCACATGCGAGATGGCGATCCTAGAACTCACATTCACCAATGAGCGATACCTCATCGCTGACACTACACACTTTCGTTCATATACTCTACAATGTTAGACCGGGCACAGGGCCCGGCACGAGGTGGAACGGGGTTTTCCAAAACGAATTCCCCTTTGACCCCAATAAATTTTACGAATACCCCCTTGAGCCCAAAAATGACGTTTTGTGCTTGTGCGACGAGATTACCGGCCACACTTCGCCTAAAAGCGCTCAAAAGCGCCCAAATTGCTCAAATTCCTCAAATTACTCCTCAGCTGGATCAAGATAGAAAACAGGAAGAAAAATAAGCAAGAAAATGATTAAGGAATGAGAAAATATCAAAGAAACGCAGTCATAGGAATGAGAGACGCCGCTCCCGCGCGTATCGATTGACTGGAGCGCGCTTTCCATCTTAAAAAGCTAGGCTGCTGATGCGATTTTGGGCTCTAACAAGGTCAAGAGGAGGAGTTTCGGAACCAAAATTTCACCATGTAGTAAACTTTAGGTGTACAACAGATTTATGTGAAAATTTTGAAAAAATTATGTGAACTGAGAGTTTTGCCGACCTCAGGTGGGAATTAGGTCGGCAAATGCCGACCTAATTTGGAAATTAGTTAAGGAAACTTTTCATTCACAAAAGTTTTTCATAATATTTCATACTTAGTTACTTAGTCCTACTGCGCATACACACACCGAATCCCGCGCGATTTCGTTACCTCTGCGTTGCAAACGAGCCATTTTTCCATTTCTTTGGTAGCGCAAAATTTTCAGAAAAAAGTTTGCCACAACCTTCAGTCACATAATTTTACAATGAAACTCCTCAGTTAAGCCCTGCAAGTCCGTGTGCATGTACTTACCAAGTTTCATGCCATATCTTTCATCTGCGCGTTGCAAACGAGCCGTTTGAATTCACATCTTCATTTACCAGTTTTGCGAAATTCTCGGAAAAAATGCTAATTACTCGTTCCGTTCACATAAGTTTTTCATAAATTTTCATACTATGTTTCCACTAGCCTCTCTCCGTTCGCATACAAAATTTGGTGCCATATCGTTACACATACAGTGAGAACTAGTCATGCATGCTGTTACAAATAGCATCGCTTGAGCGACGTCGCGCGTGCGGCAATTAGCGACGGCGCGGTTTGACGGCGCGAACTCCAGTGTTCGCCTGTTGAGGCACATAACATGTCAAGATAAGTAGCGAGCATGAACTACCAATTTTTTCCAGGGCTCCGCTCCGGACCCCGCAAAAACGATTTCCCCTTTGCTTTTTGGCCCCAAAACGATTTCCAGCTTGTCATTTGCCGACCTCGTGCCGGGCCCTGACCGGGCACACATCACGCGATTTCATCGCCTCGCGATTCTCTCAACAAGACAATTGTTACATATTCATTGCATGCTGATCATCTTGCATTTCGGTTGTTAGCCGCGTTTAATGGTGTCGGAAAACTATCACCACCGAAACGCAAGATGACCTGCATGCAATGAACTCATGGCAGTTGTCTTGTTGGTTGAATCGGGAGGAGATGAAGTCGTTTGACGTATGACCGGCCCTTTGAACAGGGCTCTTATGAAGCATTGCTGGTGCAACGTAAGTTTCCTTAAGCTGCCACCTTCAGTCCTACAATGAGAAATCTGCTTCTGCAAACGAACCTTTTGGATGATGTTTGTTTGATAACATCTTCAAAACAAATTCACACCCTTTTCTCTCTCTTCGAAGCGAATGGCCATGCCTATTTGCTTTGCAAAAAAGATACGATGGTCATTTAACCCAGGTGGTCATCGCGTCTTTTTATGCAAAAATTTGTTATGTACGCACCTGCAGGATGTAACTCGGCCATATATAATCAATTGCGAGCTTAATTTGGTTGACTTGGGATGCTACTTATGATCGCAAAAGACGCCATGCCACACAATTTTCGATGGAGTTTCTCGTGAAAGAAGTGTGCAACTGCCGAATTGCTTCATCCCCGTTCAGATTAAACGGATTCTGAGTCCAAGTTTACCATTCAACTCAGCGCCGTGCAGCGAATTTTTCTTAGGGAGCACTCTAATTGTATACTGCGGGTGCAAGATGTTGACTCAGTTTTTACGAAACTTTTCAGACTTTTACTTATTGTGACTTACGCATTGCGCTGACACTATATTTCCTAACAGCTGCTAAAAACTGACCTCGCACCGTACACCTAGCGCACCCAAATCTACCTTGATCGCGAATTTCTTGGCGTTTTGAATGAAAGTTCAAGACCCTATTAAAGAAGCCGATAGCGGTATATGCAGTGCAAACTGAAGTTGGTATCCATCCTGAAATGGTGAAATACCGAATTGCATTGGCAAAAAGAGATATTTATCAGCAGGAGCGGCTTTAAATGCTGAATCTAAGATCTTATTCCCACAGCAGTGAAACTACTTTTTGAAAGAATTCATGAGCGCTTCATCTATGAAGTTATCAGAGTTCCAATAAGTAATTTGCATTCAAAGTCAGCTTAAGGGCTTTTTAAATGTTTTGCGCATGTTAACTAACATCAAGAGAATGAGAAACCCGTTAGAAGCTCGCGTATTTTCGTGCAGCTTTTCGCTGTCCTTATGCCGCCCACGGCTTACAGATTTGACTTGGCTTCCACGATCTCCTTCAAGAAACAATTCTGCAGAAAAGGAAAGCAAATTTGATTAGCGTTCGAAGGCGAAGTGTGTGACGGTTTCTAATTATGTAAATATTAGGTTGTCCCATGAGTCTTTTCGATTTTAGTTTCCCCTACAATAAGTCACATCTTATTCTAAATAGATATCAGGATACCATTCGACAGAGTAAGGCAAGCTCTATAAGATGGCGTTTATGCTTTTGCACAAGCCTCGATCCACTTGAAGTTCTAAATCAAAATCTAAAAAGTTTCGGATGCTCAGAATATTGAAAATTTTTTATATCTTCGCTGAAAAAAGTCCTACAGATCTCTCACTCGCTCAAGCATGTACATTCATATCAAACATTCATAGGTGCTGTTGCGTATTTTTTATCAACTAGAAATCAAGAAACCGAAAATTTCCATGATTTTACCAAAGTGATGCTGTGCTGTTCTTACACTAACAGTTGTATACCCAAGCCCTTAGAAGTACAGTTGTAAATTTTTAGCTCTCTACAAGCTCAGGTTCACGACAAATGTTGATTTGAGCGTGAAAAACCCGAGTGAAGAAAGCTAAAGTTGATATTTCTCGTGAACCAGAGCATATAGAGAGCCGAAAATCTACGGCAGTACTTCTAAGAGCTTGTAGTATACAAATGTTAGTATAGGAACAGCACCGCACAGCATCACTCTGGTAAAAACATGGAAATTTTTGTTTTCTTGATTTCTAGCTGATAAAAAAATACAGCAACAGCACATATGAATGTCTAATGTGGAATGTATATGCGTGAGCGAGTTAGAGATTTGTAGGATTTTTTTGAACGAAAACATAAAAAATTTTCGGTTTTCTAACCATC